AAAAAAAAAAAAAAAAGAAACGAAACCAATGGGGAAAGAGAGAAGTCTTTCTGTGATGCTAAGCTGCCTCTTTTTAGCACTGACATTTCCAAGTTTTTCTGTGAAAAGGAAATTCTAAGAATGTGCTGAAACCATCCTTTCAGAATCAATTCCCAGAGATGTTGTGTTTCATGTAGCTTAAAAAAAAAAAAAAAATCATTGTGATGGTAAACTTGAAGTTAACTGTAATAAAGATGCCAGAATATTTAGAAACTCACGGTCCTGAAAACTTTCAGAGTTCTAAGTTATTTCACTTTGTCAGAGCCTGAAACAGGCGAGGCCAAGGCTGAGGCTCAATCTTGCCCTAGTTGAAAACTAATTAAGGTCTTAGGGAAAAACTCACCTGACAGCCTTAAGCAGACTTAGCAGGAACAAAAGGACAAACCAACTCCAACAGATAACTCGGAGGGAAGAGATAAGCTAACTTCCACTACGGCAACCCAACAGAGTCTATGCCAACTGGTTGAGCTGTAGGTCTCTATATACACAGGAGAGAGCCAAGAAAAGTAAAACCACCTGTACTTCATACATAAAATTAACCACACCTGATTAGAAACCAAGACACGGTGAGAAAAGAGCAAGTGGTTCTGAAAAATACAAATGATTCTCATTAGTTAAGAGTCATATTCACTGCAAAACCACCTCCTGGGACTACAACAGTGATCTCAACAACATGACCTTGTATATAACGTGTGTTCAAATATGTTATCTCATTTAAAGTAACTACCACTCATGCTGCTAGTTATATAACAAAGTCAAGACCAGCCCACCTCCTCTCCTGATCTGCAGCTGGGGGCTCTCCACGCCACCTGACTCTCCACAGATGATTTAAATGTACTCAGTTTATCGGCTTTCTCTACCCTCCCTACAGACTTAAAAAGAATGTCAGAAAGATACAATTTCACAAGAATCTTGGCACTTAAACTATTTATTGTTGAGAGATGACGAATAGGACTTCAAGCAAACCCAAAAATTTCTCAACAGTCAAAAAAAAAAAAAAAACAACTCTCTTTTGCCCAACTCCAAGGTATTTACAACTTTTCAAGACCGTCCGGGTTACAGATATAGGAAGCGACACCCCAAGACGAGGGGCTTCAGTGTCGCAGGCCACCAAAGTGCGGGCTGGGGCAACTCGAACGGAGACGAAGGGTGCCCGGCCGTCCCGTGGCCGCAGCCGGGTGAGGGCCAGGGCCGTGGTGACAGCTGGCGGGGACCAGCGGGCAGAGGGGACGCGGCTAGGCGGGGGGCGGGGGCTCCCTCCCGGACAGGCAAGAGGGAGGCGAGAGGGCGGCTGGGGCGGAGCGCCCGGCGGAAGGGGCAGCGGGAAGGGCGGCCGGCCGGGACGTGGGGCCCCCGGCGCCCTGGGACGGGGCCGGCCAGGGGAGGGGCGTGCCCGCGCGGGGGGTGGCGCGCGAGAGACCTCCGGGTGCCCAGGCCGCCCTCCAGCTCCGCCGCGGACTCCAGGGGCGGGGCCGGACGGACCCCCCACGGTGGCCGAGGGACTGGCGCACCAGGCACCTGCCGCCTCCGCCGAGGCGGCCCGGGCGGGATCGGCTCTCACCTCGTCGGTTCATGGGCCGGATCCGCACCGCGACTTTCACTTTGGAGTCTCCCATCCTGCGGCCGCCGGAGTTCTCGCTCGGCTTCCGTCTGCTACGGCCACCGGGCAACTCCTCGGGGCTGACCCGGCGGGAGGGGGCTGCGAGGGGCGGGGCCGGGGGCGGGGCCTGGGCGGGGCCGCAGGGCTCCGGGCGCGCCGCGCTGCACCACGGGACTTGTAGTCCCCGCTGGCCGGGGCACGGGGCGGGAACCCTGCAAGCGCGCTTAGGTCGCCGGAGCTCGTACTCTGCAGTCCCGGCTTTTGTAAACGCCCGTTTCTTTACCATTCTTACCCTAGCTGTTAGTGTGGAGACGTAAGCTGTTGAAGAGCTGGTAATGTTCCTGAAAACAGTGGATTAGAGGGCCTGGGAGACCCTGCTACCCTTTCGTGCTCGTTTCCTGCCAATCTTAGGGCTTGATCCTGGCTCAGAGATTTCCTCTGCCTGGATTGCCCTCCCCGCCTTGTTTGCTGAACTCGACCTTCAAGACGAGTTAAAAGTCACCTCTTTTGAAAGCGTGCTGCATAAATCCACGGTTTAACACTATCCTTTGAGTCCCCCTTTGGGACAAGACCTTAGGATAAGGAACCATCTGAGTTCAAATCCCAACTCAGTACTTCCCAGCCCTGTGACCAAGGGCAAGTTATTTGACCTTTTTGTGCTTGTCTTTTCCTATATAAAATGGAGACAGTAACATGGGCACACTTGAAAACAATAGAGATTTATTTACTTTAACCTGACCTGTAGTAGAGACCCGGTAAACATCTATGGCACTGGGTGAAGGAATGAAGTCACGCTGGAATTAGCTCCATCTTGGCCCTGGCAGACAGTGCTAACTCGTAGCCTGTGGGCCAGATCCATTCTGCAAACGTTCTGTTTGGCCCAGCGGTATTAGCCAGCGTGTAAAAATCAGATTTGTACATGCAGTATTGGAAATAGTGGATTGGAACTTAGCAGCACAGCAGCAGCCACCGACCGCCTGGACCTTGTGAGTTGGCCCCTGCTTAGGTATGTTTAAATGATAGTTCAGAACTCAGAAACATTTTACAGATGAGTAAATCAGAAAGCTGGCAAGACGTGTTCTTTCATCCACCATCCGGTTGCTGAAAGATAATACAACCACAGATTTTTAAAAAGGATAAAAGTACCTTTAATAGTAAGGAAATTCTGACACATCCTGAAACATGAATGAACTTTGAGGCATTACTCTAAGTGACACAAATAAGCAGGCACAAAAGAACAAATACTATATGACTCCACTTCTAGAGATGGATAGAGGCATAAAATCCATAGAAATAAAAAGCAGACTGGGAGTTACCAGGGACCGGGAGGAAAGGGAGTGGGGAGTTAGTATTCAATGGGTACCCAGTTTCTTGGGAGGATAAAAATGTATTAGAAATGAATGGTGGTGGCTCAGCACCTGTGGCTCAAGTGGCTAAGGCGCCAGCCACATACACCTAAGGTGGCGGGTTCGAATCCAGCCCAGGCCCTCCAAACAACAATGTTGGCCGCAACCAAAAAAACCAGCCAGGCATTGTGGTGGGCGCCTGTGGTCCCAGCTATTTGGGAGGCGGAGGCAGAGACTCGCTTGAGCCCAGGTTGCTGTGAGCTGTGATGTCACAGCACTCTACCCTGGGGGATAGCTTGAGACTCTGTCTCAAAAAAACAAACAAAAAAAAGAAATGAATGGTGGTGATAATTGTACAGCGGTGTAAATGCACTTAATGCCCCTGAACAGTACACTTAAGAATGGTTAACGCCACGCATGGTGGCTCACATCTGTAATCCCAGCATTTGGGAAGGCTGAGGGAGGAGGCTCACTAAGGCCAAGAGGTGGAGCTTCTCATAGGCTATGACTGCACTACTGCACTCCAGCCTGGGCAACAACGGAGACCCCACCTCTTTAAAAAAAAAAAAAAAAAGGGCGGCGCCTGGTGCTCAAAGGAA